CCGTTGAGAAAATCCCTACCCGGGTATTATTAAATTACCCGGGTTATCCGGGTAATTTATTATGATCATATATCAACCATTTCTACCCGGGTCCAACCCCTACAAGAACCTTACTTTAACTAAAATTTGAACATATTATTTTTTTATATTTTGACCCTAATTTTTACATATAAACTATTAAAACATATACGCGGTGTTAGCATCACGTTGTGATTTAGTATAACTGTAAATACGTGATATATATTCTTACAATTAGATATAATATATTGTACAATATCAAGATTATTTTTAATTTTTTATGTATAAATAGGAATTGCTTTTTTGTGTTTGAGATTTGTCCGGGTTTTGCCAGAAAATATATATATACAGATATTTTAAATAGAATTTCAACTATTTAATTTTAACTAGGATGTGTTTATAATTCCTTCGAACCCAGACATCGATGTGAATGAAGAGAAAAGGAAGTTCACTGTAGAAGAAGGAGATCATATAACATTGCTGAACGGTTTGTTTATTTAATACCATAGAAAGATGGTTTTTAGTAATATAGATTTAAATTATGTTCCTTATTTTGAAAAGTATTCAATGCGTTTATCAATCGTGGAAAGAAATCAGCGAGGTGGTGTCATAAACACTGCTTAAATTTTCGTGCGCTTTCGCGAGCATTATCTATTCGTCAGCATTTGAAAAAATATCTTGACAGATTCGAAGTACCACTTGAATCATGTGGTAACGACACTGTTAAAATAAGAAAATGTCTTATTAGCGGATACTTTTCTCAGGCTGCCAAAATGATGCCGGATGGGTCTTTCAGAACTATTAGGGATAATGTTGTACGTCTCTTTAATGTTAATTTTTTGTTTCTGTTGAAGTACTATGATGAATATTATTTCTTTCCTCCTTAAGGTCTTATATGTTCATCCGTCTTCAGTACTATTTACGCGAAATGCTCCATGGGTCATTTTTTCATGAAGGTAATAGATTGTTCATTATCGGTGATTTGACTTCGATAATCAGAAATTAAGTTTCGTTTACTGGTTATTTAGTTGTAGAAACTACCAAAGCTTTTATGCGTGATCTCACTGTGATCGATCCTGCCTGGCTGGCAGAGCTAGCGTTAAGCATCCTTATTTTTATTTTATTTTTTTTTTACATATTTTGAAAAATTTTTCATGTAGGATACTAATCATTTGCTTAATTTAGGCCTCACTTTTATGAATTCAAGAAACCTTCTCTGAAAAATGATTTTTCAGCGTAAAATGTATATGTAACAAGAGATATTTACCAATTTTTTACTTAACATATTTTCTATAGACAATAATTTAACTATATAATTAGTTTAGCCAGATAAGGAATTAAGGTAAAAAAATTTTAAAGCATGAATTTTGAATTGTTATTAAAAGATATCAAAATTTAAAAAGAAAAAAAATTAATAAAGTAATAATATATTTTTGAAATAAATATATAATATATGTATTCAAAAACTTGGAGTACATTTAGATTATTTATGATTTTAATGGTATTTTTTACATTTGATATTTAGAAATAGTTTAAGTAAGCTATTTCTAAGTTTTTTAAGCAAAGTTGTAGAATGTTTTTTTAATATTAATAGTATATAGTAGAATTATTAAATTTGAATTAATTTTTGTCGCAGATCATAATGAAATTGGATTAAAATGAAATGAGAGTTTTCTATTTGACTTTCTAAAACTCATACTTGTTTATTATAAAACCTGCTTCTCCTAATCCTAAAAATGCTGTATTTTTCGGTGGCTTGTCTATTTTATACTATATATCTCTCATTTCATTTTAATCTGATTTCATTTTAATCTGTCACAATTATTATTATATTTAAAAATTATTATAAATTTGTTACAAAAATTAAATAATTGCTGCAGCTTATAATGAAGTCAGATTAAAATAAAATTTGGAAGGTAAAAATAGAATTTCTCTAATAAATACAGATTATAATGATTAAAATTTATGCACATATATTCATATATACTCTTTCTTTTTACATTGAGAAATAAATCTATTTTACTTGCACTCATTATCCGGATTGTCTAGAATTAGAAGAATTAGTCAATTAAATGTAGATTTCTTTACGTATAAATTTTTCTCTGAAACTTTTTGGAACTTAACATCGATTTGTTCAAAATTCGGAGCTATGATATTTGGTTATAAGGGCTTTACATTATACGTAATTGCAGGTGAAACCGGCGAATGCTGGTAAAACCGGTGAAAATAAATATAACAGCCAATAAGAAACTCAAGTTGAAACTCAAAATTAGTTTCACCTGTAACATCGAGATTGTCAGCTCATATATCAAATAGTAAAAATATTTAATCTTATTGATTTACCATATTTATATTTCTAGCCTGAAGATCATATCTGAAAAAAAAAAAGGCTACGTACGTACAGAACTTTATTTCAAAATCAAAATTTAGCAGCCTCGAATAATAGTTATATTTAATATTCAATCAGCGCGAATTCTATTCGCCATGTCTATAACAACGTAAAAACCGTTATATAGATCACATTATGTTTATACAAAACAACGTGATCTACATAGCATGCTTCGTCCTGTCGTTGTTACTCGTGGATCAAAATCGTACTTATCCCCCCAGGCGTTACTTCGAGAAATTAATTTGGCGAAGATTTTGTAAAAAAAATAAATTATGATTCGAATTCGGTTAAATAAATTGTTAGCTTTCTTTAAGTTGCGTGTCTCAAAATAACTCCCGGAGCGTTATTTCGTGCAAATCCGGTATAGCATTTTTACACTATTCGGTTCATCCCATAAATAACATTCGATTTACTGATAAAAAATCTGCACTTATTGTTGTATTTAGAGCAAATATGTATGTATACTTCTATATATTTTGGTCCGAAGTGACATAAAATTAAAAAAAAACACTTTATTAAGGTAAAGAAGTCGACTGTATAGCAAAAATATAAACCTATTTTAGGTAGTGATTCGTCTTGAAATTTGTTACACAAAAAATGGAAGTCATTATCACGATACGGTGTCAGATTCAAACTTAACGACATCGAATTATGGTAGCAACAACTAAAAACTTATGCATGTTGTATTTCGCAGATTTTTATGGGAGGTAAAAAGTGAGACGTCCGAGGCAGCCCCTTACTTTTGCTATTTTTAGGGCATGTTACGCCATGTCCCCATTTACGAGTTCTAAGCGTATGAATCATCCGATTTACGAGTTCAAAGTGTATAAATACGTGCTGCTTGGGAACCCTACCCGAAAAAAAAAAAAAAAATCTTAAAATGATAACTACTCGTAATTTACTTTCAGACCTTTCTTATAATTTTGAACAACTTCTTGAAAGTGGAGATAATTATGATGTTTTAATTCAAGCCGGAGAAAATCCTGAAATACAAGAATTTCGTGCACATTCAATTATTTTAAGTACTAGGTCGCCATATTTTCGAGCAGCTTTATCAAGTAGTTGGGCGAGAAAACGAAATGGGATAATATTTTTTAAGAAATCGAATATTTGTCCTAATATATTTAAAGTGATATTAAAGCAAGTATTATATTCAAACTATATACCGAAATTCTCGAAATAGCGTTATTTCGAATTTTGGCCCGAATTAAGCTTAATTCGGGCCTAAATTCGAAATAACGCTCATGCCCGCTATTTCGAGAATTTACGGTAATTTCTTGAATATATATTTATATAATATTTTCTAACATTTTTTTTTGTGTTAAAAAAGATATTTATATACAGCAAAAGTTGATTTGGAAACTCAAGAAGGAATGAATGTGTTAAACCTTTTAGTAGCAGCAGATGAATTAGATTTACAAAATTTGATAGAATATGTACAATCATATTTATTTGATAAAAAAATTGGATTCTTAACGGATAATTATTTAGAAATTCTTAAGATTGTATTTCGTCATGAAGAACTTTCAAAGTTAAGAGAATTTTGTTTGAATCGCGTTGCAGAAGACCCGGGCGTGCTATTTAGATCGCCAAATTTTTACACGTTAGATAAATCACTTTTATATTTAATACTTCAACAAGAAAATCTCGCTATAGATGAAATGGAAATATGTAAATCCGTGATTCAATGGGCTATCACTCAATCCTCGATGATTATAAATATAGAAGATATTTTAGAGTTGTCATCTGAAGATTTAAGTGTTATAAAAAAAACATTACATGAATTTATCCCATTAATTAGATGGTTTCAAATTTCAAAAGAAGACTTTTCAAAATTTCAAAAATTATTTGAAATTATTTTACCACCAGAACTTTATGAAAATATTAAAAAATTTAATTCTAAAAAAGAAATTGAAAATAAATCATTAATTTTGCCACCAAGAATTCCTCATATAGATTCAAAACTTTTAGAAGTAGAACATTTTGCAATGATTTCAAATTGGATAGATAGACATAATACACAAATTTACAAGACACAATTTCCTTATAAATTTAAATTATTATATAGAGCAAGTGAGGATGGATTCGATGTTGAAAATTTTCATATATTATGCGATAAAAAGGGACCAACCGTAACTATCTCAAAATTTGCAAAAACCGGAAAAATAATCGGTGGTTATAACCCATTAGATTGGAGACCACAAAACGAAACTATAGAAAATACATCAATACTTGATTATCATAGTTGGTGGGCAACATCTGAGAGTTTTCTATTTTGTTTTGAAAACAAGAAAACAAATTCAGATTCACAATGGGCGAAATTTGCAAGAGTTGCTAGTGTACATAGTGCAATCTGTTATAATAGGCATTTATGTGGGCCAGCTTTTGGACCTGGATGGGATTTGGTGATCGGTGAACGTTACAAACATGCGTCTTGTTGGGGATCTACAGGATATCCGGGAAGCCGATTATTTTTTAATTCAGTAGAATGGAACGCAGTGCATCATGAATTAGAAGATTACGAAGTTTTTCAAGTTATTAATAAATATTAACATTTGATTTAAAGGGTATAAGTATTTATTAATGCATTGAACATTCCTGTTTATTCTAAATAATACAAAATTTTACCTATTATTTGTAATTAATGCTAACAAGATGAATTTTCATAACCAAACAAGTATGGGATTGAGTTATGAATTTCAAGACACTTCAGCCTATTGCATTTTTGAAATAACACATTACATAATTTGTACAAAAATTGTAGAAAAGTATTAAAAGTATCTTAAAATGACTAATTCTTGTCACTAGAGAATATTGGAGTATAAAATATTATTAGTTCTCATTGTGTGATCAATAAGAAATTTACTGATAAATGTTAATAGACTATAATTTTATTTAAAGACATAAAAAATCATTCCTAACATATTTCGATTCCATATATAAGTAACTTTTAGCTCTTCACGAGTTAAAATTATTCATCTTATGAGTTAAGTAGCTAAATTAATTATAGTTTGATGTACTGATCGAACCATACGTACGAAACAAATTTCAACGAGTTAGACAGCAATTAACTTTGCAAAACAAAAAAACAATAAAATCTCTATATTTTATTAAAAATACTGAAAAGTTGCTTGATGAATATTTACGCTGTAAATAGAATAGAAAGGACTTCACATGAAGAAAGCAATGGTAATAATCCTTCAAATGTTTATTTCTTTCTGAAATCTAACATTTTGCCTCTCTTGCAGAGATTGCATCCACCAGTACCGCCGAAACAAACGTTAATCCTGAAGCGAATTCTGAATCGAACGATTCTGTCTCTTACACATTAGACAATTTGGAAGTAGGAAGCTTAATTGGAAACATGCAAGAATCTATCACTTTAGATGTTGAATCGTCAATTAAAAACAATGCTTCAGGAAATACTTCAATCAATCGTACACCAACTATAAAACTGGATAAAGATAACATAACTCAAATTGGCAATATTGAAAGAAAAAATGATGAGTCTGGCAAAAATGTTTTTAAGAGAATGGGAAAGATCTTCAAGAAAAGAATCAAAAAGGTTTTTAAATGAAACTATTAATGGTTCAGATTTAATCTGCTTAATTGAATTATTATACATATATATATATATACAATATATACGCATTACTATTCTAAGCATATAATATACATACAGTAATTTTCAATGCATTATATTTTTTAATAATTATATTGTATTATGCCATACAAAATTAATTTTTTGGTTCTCATCATAAAAGTTTTTAATTGACCCGGAAACTCGGCCTTTCATTTAATAATCTATATATTATATTAACGTGATGTGTAACGTTTAGTAAATCATCTTTCAATTGTGTAACGTGACGATTTAATTTTACATTATTTATACAGTTTAGAGTACTTTTTTCCCGTATTCACGTTGGAATTGTATTTTTTTGCTAATACATTAATGTCTTTCAGAAAAATCGGATCATATTGTGATCTAACTAAAGCTTGACCTGATTCTTCAACTCTGCTATTTAGGTTAGAGTACTTTTTAAAAAACGAAAACTAATCATAATGAAATAAAAAAACTGTATAGAAGGTTTCATTAGAGCTGTAGGACTCATAGCCAAAAATAAGATCTAATTCTCGTCCGTTTAAAAAAGTTAGTATAGTAATAACTTCTCAAAATCAACCTAATTTTTTTAAACGGATGAGAATTAGATCTTATTTTTGACTATAAAGTCTTAGGGATTACAGAAGATCAGTATGGTATAACTAACCGGATCAGTATGGTATAGATGTGATTTTATCAAACCGTACTAT